AAAGTTCAATATCATAACATATACCTCTAAGTAAAGAGTTTCTGTGACTTTAGACAAATGTTATCTTTCTTTTTATTTACCAACTGAAAGGTTCGTCTGGCATTTCTTACACATGTTTGAACCAACAAAGCATACTTATGTTAATTTTTAAGCACTACTGATGCAAATAATCTCTCTTATATCTTAATCATGAATGCAGTCAGCTAGTATTACTCTTCAATATCCACTGCATATATGTATTTCACTCAAATGCTCCTTTAGACATAAGCAACTCTCACTTTAAGTATACAATAGCAAGGATCAGTAATATGTTGTATGTTGTAAATTTAGCTGCACTTGCCCACTGCACTTGCACTGCCAGTTTGAGTTTTTATAACAAACATCTTTTCCTAACCTCCCATTTACATCTCTGTTAAAATTACATTATAAAGATTTAGCAGAAATCTCTGTTAAAATTACACTATACAGATTAAGCAGAAATAATATTTCAAGTGTGTGACATTGTGGCTCTTTATGAAAATAATTTTAGAAATTAACTATTTAGTCCATTTCCCTATGTGATATTATTATTTATTAACTTACAATTACATATATTTGAATTTTAATTTGTTTACAATTAATTTAATATTAGTGATTATGCACCCTTTTAATAGCTCAACTACAACAATGACAGATACATCACCCTACCAAGATAATAAAAGATACATCTGCATAAAGAATACTTTGGAGAGAGTAATTTGACTTTACTTGTACAAAACTAGCTAGTACTTTTGTCGTGATTGTTCTACATAATCAAATACAAATTATTAACTATCATTTCACTAGTTTAATACTTATGATAGTTAAAGAACTTATAAAGGCTTTAGCTACATAATCATACATGATTTCTTATATTTTCATGTGCACTATACATAAATGAAACAACTTTTAAATGGTTTCATCATTTGTATTTAGTTTTTTTGATATTTCAGACCCTTTACATAAAACTAAATACAAAAGTGAAAAAACCATTTAAAAGTTGTTTCATTTATCATAAACGACTTCATTTTATAGATCAACTAGTCGACCCAGCGAGCTTTGTACAACCATAGTTTATTATTTATTAAGGAACTTTCCGACAGCCACTCTGCCCACAAGGTCCTGTATTACACATAAAAATATTCCTTTTAATCACCCTATCTATTAAAAAAGATCACATCAATGTGATTCATAGTTTTAAAGATTAAGATAAATAGAGACAGACCGAAAGCAACTTTGTATTATACTGCGTATTGATAAACACCCAAGAATCTTTTATCTCACTCCACTAAGAAACACCATCTCTTAAATATGGTACAGACCATATTGATGTTGTAAAATTATCATTACACAAAATTCAACTCCATTGTATTTACACAATCACATTACTGTGGCTTGTACCTTTGTATACAATAATGATTGTGCAATGTGATGTCTGTCATCATTGCTTTATTTCCAAAATAAGAACACAATTGTTATGGCAAAAGAAAAGTGTTTTAAAGCACAATCCATTGGTTAATTATTATATGAGCCATTTTTTATCGCTTTCATTTCTTCCAGTTCTTCCAAATACCTTATTTAAGTTTACAAGTTTAGCTTGTAAAATATCAAGAGGCATTACTCAAAGAAATGTACATTTGGTAAGTACATTGTAAATTTGGATTACATCATAGTATAGAAACATGTTTTTTTTTATTACCACACATTAATAAAATGCTCCAGTTAGCTTTCCGTAAGGTAGAAATCAGAAGAAATTTAATCTGATTCCCCGACGCCTCAGTCAGATAGTTGTGCAGCACAAAATTATCTTATGACAATGTGTGCCTAAATTGTTCCCAATTGATAATGAAAACGTAGAGACATAAAACTGCAATACAAAAATAATATATTTATTTTTAATCAGCTCATTGTAAAAGCAGAATAAGAGTAACTGTATTCCGTAACGGAAAATTCTCCAACAACTTACGCAAAGCTAAAGAAACACCGAAATTAACTGACCTACAACTCCATACATTACGTGGTAACGAGTATATCAGTAATAATACTTACTTTCAGTCGTGTAAGATTCCCGTCTCTTGCAGCGTTGAAAACGGCTGTTTTGAAATCCATGGTGGTTCTCTTTTGAGTAGTAAAGCACAATTACAAATGACACTTCAAGAACAGCACTTTCTTCTAAGAATAATCATTGAGAATACACAAGATCACGAATAATTAAGCAATCAATTATTTAATTCCAAAACACTCCGTTACGGCACCCTATTTCCCGTAGCGAACAGCTGCAGCGCGACGTCGTATGTCTCGCCAATTCTGTTCCGCTAATGTTCTTTCTGCTGCCATTTACAAAAACAACGTAATCAAAGACAAAATATTGGTCTTTGACATTTATTTCAGTGCTGCCAGCAAAGAAACAAGTACGTGAAGAAGTATTTAAAAATGTCACTAGATGGCAGCACTTTCCTAGAACAATAATCTAGCCAAGAATAAACTATTTTAAAAATCACACATCAATGAGGAAGTATTTAAAAAAAAACATAAGTTCCCAAAATCAAATAAGATGTCGCTACGGTAAGTTTTTTATTTTTCCATGACAACCCTTCCGGTGTTCTTTCATGTTAAAAGTAAATTGGTTTCCAAACTCAATAAATTTTTTCATATATTTCATATTTGTGTTGATATCTAAGTTACGAACTTTTCAAATTTCAGTTTTTCAATAAGTTAATTAATAAGAACGGAAATAACTGGGTTTGTTCCATTAGTTTGCTGCAAAAATAATCTTTTGCTAGAGTCGCCATCTAGTGGAGGTCCTTTTTTAGTGCTTTCGTTTTTTTTAAATACTTCCTCATTCAGAATCCATAAGAGTGCAAGGTTAATCGACTAATACAAACTTATTTCCACTGTTCGATAACACCCACATGCGGTGAGCAGAAGATTTCAGCGCGTATTTTCATTAGTCGGTCATTGGCTGTCATTTATTTATCTTCTTCTTCTTTTTTAATTAATGGCTTATCTGCGCATATCGCACAATTCTGCCAATATGTTACGTGTAAAGCAATGATGTTTGATTGATACGTCAACATTAGTGATGAGCCAAATTATTGGTTGCTCGTAACTTTCATCCGAATTCAAGTTTGGAATGAAGAACAAAAAGCGGAGCACAGAATTTAGCTTGTATTTGTAAGTGTCATTATGCATCCACAAAAGGAACGATATTAATATAAATATCAAAATTAATTCAGTCTAGGCAGTTCCATAGTACCTGTGAAAGTCGAAAACTTTGCCAATGGTTCACAAAACAAAGGGGGGAGATTTTGTACTGACAAGAATCGGCAAGAAACTCGACAAGGGCTGCTTTTTTAATTTCAACAATACAACTCAACTATACTATATTTGAGGGAATGTAACGACCTAACGCATACGACACCACCGCAGAGATTTTAAGAGAGCATGACTACTCTAGGTACTTAGTAAATAATATATTTCAATAAAACTGATTTCTAGATTAGGTTGTGTAGGAATTCAATCTATTATTAACAATATTATTGTAAGAACCAAAAAGCACATACCCGCCGTACGAATTAACTTAACACATGGCTCGAAGTCCGCCGTCGACATGTAAGATCAGTAGCAATAGTATAATAAGTGTACGTGTCTTTGCAATTTTCAAATTTAAAGTTATAATCTTTAAATTTAAAATCACAAATACATCGACGCTGGAAAGCAAACACGTAGTAACCCGCAAAACCAAAATTGATCTTCAAAGCAGAAAAACTTTGATTTTTTTCGATAAATAATTCCTATAAACGTCCATGGTAACAAATAAGGTGTTCCTTAGTCAATTTATACAGAAATAAGACATATTTTTTTGGAAAAATCTAAAGATTTTCCATTATAAATATCCATTTTGGTTTTGCAGGTTACTACGTGTTTGCTTTCCAGCGTCGACATGTACAGTTCGTTTAGAACAGACGTTTAATTACGAAAGCACAAGTTATTTGCCCGTTACACTTTGTGCAAACGTCAGTTTAGCCAGAAGTCATGTTATTTTGTATGAAAACCTAGTATATTTGATACGTATGGGGTAAGTATATTATAGATAATAAACGGATTTTTATTATAATTATCGTTTTTATGACTTTTGTTGCTAATTAATTAACTCTATATCTCACCATACATAATATCAAAATATTATTGAGTCTTGATGTAGTTTTGTTGTTGTAAGTTCAACAAACAACTAATAGCAATAAAACTAACTTACCTTGTTGTTATTGTTTTCAGAACTTTTGTTAAATATTATAATGAAAAATTACTACACCTACTATGGCATAAGTATTTTATTTATAAAAACTATTTGGCGGTAATATTATTACATACTGTAGCTAAATGCCACTTTTAATTATATCACAGCATTAATTAAATAATAAAAAGCCTCTGTGCTCACTTCCAGTGTATTAGTTTCCATTTTCTTCTATACAAATAAAAAATAAATTTATTCAAAGAGTACTTTGTATTAATCGAGTTGCGTTTGCATAATTCGAACTAATTAATACAACTCGATATTAATCCGAGTTATCAGATCCAAAACAACACTGACAATTCTATTCTCTTCGATTTAACGTCATGAATTGACGTTTAAATCCAAAAATTTGTGCTGCCATTTAGTGACATAAATTTTGCAGTTTCTTTATTTTTTTTTAAATACTTCCTTGTTGACATTTAGATCCTACAATTTGTGCTGCCATCTACTGAAATAAATTATTGTATTTTCTTATTTTTTTTTTAAATACTTCCTCATTGACCATTGATCGTTGTTAATGTTACCCATACATAATATTAATTGATTTACTGTGTGATTTTGAATGGATATGTGGTTACTATGTATGTATTGATATTTTTCAACATCCTTATTTTTTAGCTAGAGTTTAGGATGTTGACATATCGTTTCTAATCGATATATATATCGGTAACTATATATCGTCCTCCCTAATTGATGGATGACATGACTGACGGCTGATCAAAAATTACGGCGTGGATTTATGGTTAAAATTTGCTATTACTGTTACTTGTTGTATGAATTCGTTGTTGTCGTCGAATGTGCTGTACTTTGCATTTTTTAACTTTGTTAGCGATTGCAATTAGTGCTTTTGAATGTTAAGATAATGACCGATAATTCAAAAGTTTCACGACAAAGTTTGTGCATATCATTGTCATTAGCGCGTAAGTCGGGCTCTCTGTTTGGAGTGTTATAGCAGCGGCAGATCGTATTGTCTGAAATGGTGCTGATTGTAATTGCGAACGGATCAAAAGAGAACTGTATTTGATTGTGTTTATTGAAATTGTCACGTTACTTTTGGAACGAAATGTATCCGACGCCGACGCGGCACCCGGCGGCTGCGGTACGGGTTTGTGTTTTTTTCTTACGTTACTTAGCTTTTCGAACGATCTCATTGATATTTGCTGTATCTGTTATTTAAACTTCTTCCATTTCGTCGTTATTCTTTTTATTTTTTAGGGTCCACAACCTACCTCGGGACCTATAAAGTTTACTATAGCAGATACTTTAGAACGTATTAAAGAAGAATTTAACTTTTTACAAGCTCAATACCACACGTAAGTACTTGAGTTAACATCATACCTAGTAACTGATTGTTTTGATATCATAATTTATGTATTTAATTTCTGTTTATAGCCTCAAACTAGAATGTGAAAAGCTAGCAAGTGAGAAAACCGAAATGCAAAGACATTATGTGATGGTAAGTAGTCCTACATTGGTTTACCAAGTATTTATTAATTAATAATAACATAACTTTAATTGTATTATCACATTTTTTGCAGTATTATGAGATGTCTTATGGGCTCAATGTGGAAATGCACAAACAGGTATATTATGATCATTATATTTGATTAGATAATGATAAAGTTAATAACTTATTTTAAAATTTTAATTTGCAATAATTTTATGTTTTATAGATTTTTAAAATATGTGCATATTGACCTTGGAAAACATAGTAACCTGCAAATACAAAATGGATATTTAGAGTAGAAATCCTTTTCCAGAAAAATATCTTATTTCTGTATAAATTGACTTAGGAACAGGTGAAAAAGATAGAAGTTTTTCTGCTCTGAAGAACAATTTTGGGTTTGCACTTAACTATGTGTTTGCTTTCAAGTGTTGTTATATAAAAATTTTCATTCACAATTCTAAGTCCATATTTATGATAAAGATAAATTATTTAGAGATTCAATTTAGATTTATCTGTAGCATAAATATACTAGTTTGATATTGATTTAAGAATTAAGTTCATATGAATATGTAAAATGGATATTATATCAACCTATAATTTTAAATGTATAAGAATTAAACCTAATTCTAATTAATTGGTATGTGACCATTAATATTCAGCTGTTACTTTACCATGCTATTAAAATCTAGACACCAATGACAATGTTACTACTTTTTACTGACATAAGTATAAAATTGGAGAAAACTGCAAAACAAGTGTCTTACATTCTACTTGGTACTGTAGCAGTAAATAAATAAAATAGCTATTATCAAAGCAATATTTTATGTTTTTTTATAATAATGCTCTAAATAAATCTATCTTTTCAAGACTTATTTTGCTTACAGACTGAAATTGCAAAGAGGCTAAGTGCTATAATAGGGCAAGTGTTGCCATTTCTGGCCCAAGAACATCAGCAGCAGGTCGCTTCAGCTGTAGAAAGGGCAAAGCAAGTCACTATGCCTGAACTAAATGCAATTATCGGGGTAAGAATATTTTTTTAATTCAACAAGAATTGTTACTGCTACAAGTTTACCTTAAAATATTTTAATTGTTGTTAAAGTTCATTATCATTTTTTTTTCATCATTTAAATAGCTTTGACTAGGTGTAACTAATTAATTACCAAAAATAGGCTACAAATATAATAATGAAATTGAAAAACATTTCTAAGTGCTTTTTTATTTAATCTTACTTGCTATGTTATAGTTCACAATTTTTGACAAATATTACAAGCTAATATCTTAATTTTTTAGACAATTGTATTTTGAACAAGCTTATCAAAGATCAGATCTATTTAATAAATCTAAAAAATAAAAGTTGTTTCAAGATGCTTATTGTAAATGTATATGGTATTTATTTATATAATTTTTTGATTTACTGTTATAGGGGTTCTGCATCAGTGTTTATTTTATAAAAGAGAAAGAAAATAATGTTTCTAAATTATTTATTTTATTAATCTTAAATTATAAAGGATGCTGCTTGATGAAAATAATTTGGATAGGTTTAACTTTGTAGTTAAAACTCTAAAGTTTGCCAGTTTTATGGAACATTAGGTTCAGCTGTGCTTTAACTGAGTGTTGTTTTTATTTAATATTTCCGCAGCAACAACAACAACAGGGCCTTCAGCAACTTCTTGTAAGTGCCATCAATCTGTGTATTGTTTGTTGTGATTAACACTATTGGTTGGCAATTGCTTTACGTTGCCATTTCTTTTGATGAACTTTGTTTATGATTAATTGGTGCATTTTGAACTTTGCATTTTCAATTTATTATATAAATCAGTTGTGATGATTATGAAAAAACCTTTCATATCATACACTATATATTTCTTTTTGGTAAAATTCATTTATTATGATTTATTCATAGGCTATTTAAAGTTTTCATATCAATTAATATTGAAATCTATTTGATTCTGAACAATAAGGTTATGATTAATTTTATACATTGTGTGATTTGCTTTAAAGATATGACAACTGTCCATGATCAGTTCCTTATTATATATAATTGAGTTTAACAACAATACTGCCATTCGTTTTGAGTTGCCTAGCAATAACTGTTACCAAACTACATCATAGACATATGCACATCAAGTGGTACCACCAACAAAGACTTGAGTGTATTTGATTGAATTTTCTATTTGCTACTAACCTGCTCAGAGTTGATATTATCATCAAAGTTAATAAAATACCTAAAGTAGTTAAAAAAAAAAACAGATTTAATTGCATCACCAACCTAAAATGCGTCTTAGCGAGGAAGTGTATTATGCGGGATGCAGTAAAAACATACTATTAATACGTGTTTTGTTCTAATACAAAAAAGGTTTAACCATAAAGACGTTATTTAAAACACACTTATTTGGTTTGAGAGAAATTGATATTTTAGCATTTACTAGATTTTCAACATAGCTTTTACAGTATGTCTTCGCTTGATTCAAATAATTTACAGGGCATCTGAAATCAGAGTCATAACAAAGTCGGAGTTATATCATCTTCATCATTGACTTTTGTGTATAAGGACCCCTGTTTGTGTTATTCACATTCACAATAAGATCTTTAATTGATTGAATTTTGAATTCCGAGATAAAAATTGTTGTTGGCGTAGCGCACTAAATGGGGAGACGAAATATATTAAGCCTTAAGAAATGTATCAGAACATGTCTCAAGATGAAGGGACTGGCTATTATGAAAGAAATTGTATTAAGCTGGTTCTACTGTGTATAATAAAAAAAAAATGGCTGCCGTTGCTAGCGGTACACGAGAAGGTTTACCTGGATGTGCAGTGTGATGAACAGGAGGGTAAGAGTGACCAACTCGAAGCGAATGGCTAGTACAAATGAACATTATAAACAAATATAAATAAATAAAACACATTTTATGAAAATGCAAAGGTTACATGCTGATTGATACCACATACATTTATGTGATTGGAAAACTAATTGAACGAAAGTGTTTTATTGTTCTTTAACTTCACATTTCATTGTTTGTGAGCACAGTAGCATTTTCCACTTAGTTGTAGCCTCTAACTACATGTGATAAGGTTCGCTTTTTTAGCAACGCAATATGTTTTATTATTTTGATGATTTAATTTTGCTGGTCATGTAAAATGTATATGTAAATTACTAAGTATTAGTTACATACTAAAACATTTTTAAAATACAAAGTAATCAGTTATTCTTTAATAAAAAAAGTTATATTTTCCTTATGTATATAAAACTATAGTTAGATCTTTATTGTAGATATTTTAGGGCTTCGAAATTAATGTTGAAAATGTAGAAATCTTTTTTCATTTCATTATTATGTGTGTGACTAATTCTCTTAAATGAAATTTTAATATTTAGTGGGACCATCTCATCACATATTTGAACTCACTCTTTAATACTGTGACACGTTTTAGTCTGTAAATATAATTGTTCCGTTTTAATTGGTCCACAGATAAGAGGTTTATGGCGGCAATCATCAAGTTTATTCAAATATTATAATGCTTGTATCAATATTTATATTGTTACTTCTAATAACTCTTTCAATATTTACACAGTGTAAAAACACGTTTTTATCTAAAAAAAGTCAGTCATCTTATGAATTATTTAAATACTTAAAACTTTATCATACACATTTTTTATCCTGTCTATAACAAGGGAGTCTTTACTAACAACAAAAGGTGAAATATTTGTAATGTCAGATAATATAAACTTTGCTAATGTTATTTTTGTTATATTAATTGTTGTAATGATAAAATCGGTAATATTAGTTTCACTAATTTATTCTGATATATTAAGCATATCAGAGAGATAAAGGTTGTTTTGTTTTTTTTTTATGTTCGCGATTTTTCTTTGTCGGCATTTAGGCATGAATATTTGGTTATATATGTTGCAATTTTGTTGGCAGCAACAGATACATGCGTCTGCGGGTCTGTCTCATGGTGTAGCAGGCGCTGGAGGCTTGTTAGGCGCCGGAGGGCTATTGTTCGCGCCCGGGGCGGGACCTCCGCCACCCCCCCACTTGCCGCCACCTGCCCACAAGGTATTGTTAGGTCAAAAGGCTAACGCAGTTTATCAAATCAGATTACTTTTACTTAAATTTTTAATGTAGACGGAGCTAATATCTTTTTTTACTTGTATATTGTTTAAAAACAAATAAACGTCATGCCAGAGTATCGATCATCAGATAGAAGTTTACGAAATTTTAAATGAAAGAAAAGATATTATTTATGTTGCAGATGGTTTTTACTAAAGTTCCTAATCACATAATTCATTTTTTTGTCTCTTTATAGGAACAAAGTATAAAAATAAACGAAAATGTTCACAAAATAAACGAAAAGTCGTTAAAAATAATGCTTATTTAAATTTATTGAGAACAATATCAGGAAACTTAGTAAAGGCCGTTTTATGAGACACTGTTTGAAAACAGCAGCATAAGATCTTAAGGTCTACTTTTGAGTACTAATCTGTGTTTTGACATAGAGTATAAATATGTGGATGAAAGACTTTGTTTTACATTATGCAAGGTGGAGTTGCCACCCCCAGCGGACATTAAGCCGCCAGTGCTACCAGGCGGGCCGGCCGCACCCTTACTGCCGGGACAACCGCCGCCACGTGAAGATGATAGACTAGTCTCTTCTAGGGTCCTACAACAGGTAATGATAGTCTTCATAGTTGCTTCATTCCAACATGAATTTCAAATAATACAATTAGGTCCACAAGTATCTCTGTTATGAGTTTTACCATCAAATTTATGATGATATTGGTGTCAATACTACTGTACCCACTCTCTATGGCTGAACTTGAAACACGATGATAACAATATGGCTGTTTTAATATTATGTGGGTCGTTTTATATTTACATACAGCTTAATTTAGTTGAAATGTTAATCAAAAGTGTATCTTGCACTTAGAACGCTGCATTCCAACGACGTTCCGTGTCGCCTCACGAGCGCGAACAGAAGTACAGACCGCGATCGCCAGTGGAACCTGAAGCGTTGGACGTGAAACGCAGGAAGGAGGAGAAGGTACTCAGTCATGTGAGTCTGTGTAGTGTATGTGGCTTCGATATTTACACGCTTGATTGTTTCATAGTTCACCTTACGCATTATGGCGGTTATATTGCACATATAGTCTACTCGATTGATATTAAAAAGTTATTATAATGAAAAGCCTGTCTCAGTCTAAAAAATTAAATAACATTGAAAGTCTTTAATAATATTCAAAGATAATCCTAACGCGCCTTTGGTTTGCTTTGATTAGTGTTAAACTGTGTGACAGCTGGGACAGAGTGGTTTTTATGAGAAATAAAGTATTGTTTTTAATATTTTCCAGTTTTATGTTTCTTCTCTCCATAACAACCTTCCTCAGACTTCATCAAACACAACAAAAAAGAAATCAGTGACATCGGTTAAGCCATTCTCGGTTCAAAACCCGGGCATAAATCTGCTAAGTTTTGTACTTAGCATACTAGCTTTATCTAGTGTTTTCACTACACTATAATAAGGCATAGTCTAACTAGAAATCACTTATAAGAGTATCGTGAACAGAGTCGTCGTTTTACCAAACCTGTGACGTTAGGTAATGCCTTACTAAGCACTTGCATAAATAAGCAACGTTTGTCTATGATTTTGCATACTACAGTTCTTCTTCTTTTTTTTTTTTAATGTAAGGTATATTTGAGTTTACACAATTCCGCCAATGTAACGTTAGTAGCCTTTACACGTAAAGAGACAATAACACGTATATATATTTTGAGGTAATAAAACAAGAAAAAATATACGTGGTTAAGAAACGTAAGAAAAATTTACACGAACACTCTAGTCACTATGTCCATTTATAAAAAGTCCGAAAATTCAGAAAATTTCATTGTTTATATCTTAATTCTAATATTTCAACTCTTTGATTCCAACTCACTCTATTGTTTTTATCCCTTGACACATCCGTTATGGCCAAAGAGTAAATGTATCTGTTATATTACGCAAATGCCCAGCGCTTCGCGCCGCATAATCCATATCCTAACTTTAGGTGTAGCATAAAGTCGTTAGGTGACTCCTTGTTATTGGGAAACGCATTTTCACCTTAGACAATGCCTAAATATTTGGATGTCATTTTTGGATAATCAGTTTACACTAATCCTAAGTTTAGTGTAAACTGGCGTTAGCGATTTGTTTTCATTTATTAGAAGAAGATAAATAAAATTATTCTTTTGGTCTATCATAAATAATCTACTTACTATACTTATGAAAGTTGGCTTCACTGATATATTGTAATAGATAAAACATATATTGTAATAGATAAAATTGTTTTAGAAAATATATTTTAATTGACATTAAATATATTTTCATTAATATTAAGCATTATAATCGCCAGAGTACGTCTACAACTGCCTATAGGTTTTGCTTTTATGTATATGTAAATGCTTAAAGACATAGCTTTTCAGTGAGAATAATTTTAATTCATACAATTGCTGTTTCACGCTTAAGTACTTTAAAAATAAGGTCACTAATGGTTTAATCCAATTTCTAGGACAGCGATGCTGAAAAAAGTGACCAAGATCTTGTTGTTGATGTAGCTAATGAGGTAAGATGGATATTTGAAATGTTTGCAAGTGTGTTTATTATTTATAACTGTTCAAATAAATTTTGTTACGATAGTAATTAATTTTATCTGCATGATGTTTTTGTATAGAAAATATTAATTTCAAAATTTAGAATGTGAGAGAGTTAACTGAATGAATACAACATGTTTCCTATTTAGGATGGGTTCGTTCAGTAGTTATTAATATGTAATATCTTATTACAGACTGATTTGAACTAACAGTTGCAAAAATTCAATTTTTTTTGTACTTTGTCATACTAATACTAATTTGTAAGAATTATTCTTTAAAATACATATTTCATTAAATTATCAAGATATAAAATAAACACCATTTGTTATATTAAAATGTTATAAAAAGGCTAATTTATAATAGGGAATTGCAAAATTTTCAAAAATGTTTATATTAATCAATATGGATATGGAGGCTTATTCCCATTTAAAATTATAAATCGGATGTTATTAAAAAAAACGCAAATAATCTATAAACTTTATGACACTTTTAACAACACACGTTTTTTTATTTTATTTGGTTGCTTGTATGGTCCAAGTAAGCCTTCATTCATAAAAAATGTGTAAATGTGTTAGGTAATATTAAAGATTCATCATAATAAATAAGTTGCACTTACATTTATGTTGTAGGAGGAGAGAGGATCCCCCAGTGTACGCACGGAGGGTGGCGATAGGACAGAGAATGGTCCTAGACCGCCATCCAGATCAGGCTCGTCTTCAAATCGGTCTACTCCCAAAAGTACTAAAGATGTAAGTTCGATAATGCTGAAGTAGACCTACTTTTACCTTACCTTGTTCTATATGCTGTTAAATATTGTATAATTTTTCTCTATTCACATTGTTTAAATACATAAGTTTATTATATTTTTATAGTTATGGTTGTGTGCACGTTTTTCAGAATTTATTTATATATAATTATTATTTTCACTAATTAATAATAATTTTATTCTAAATTCTGATTATATTCCTTTATTTTCAGTTTTTGAGAAAATAGAATATTAAAAAGGTCTTATTTTGTCTACAATGAATGTACATAGGTATAGACATGATTAAATGTACCTAAAAGCTCTTAAGGTCTGTGTTACTAATATCATTGTTTTCTTTTTTATTTCATAATATATGAAAATAGTAGACTTTAGTATTTTTCAACAATTTTACGAATCGAAACTCTACATTTGACTTCTTTAACCGCTTCCATAAGAGCCTCTGAACATATTTTATTGCAATTCACGCCAGTTTTAGTACGAATCACTTAAAGAATAAATAAATTTATAATATATAATGAACAGTTCGAAATACGTACCTATGGACAGTCAACATGTACAATATTCTTTTGTCCATTGGTACAAATAAACGGTTATAACCTCTAAATTACCTCAGCTTAAAAAACATCACACATATCTGTGGAGATTTAATACCAAACCAAAAACATACAACAAATTATGTTATTCATTTAAAGTTGTGCTCATATGTTTTATCTATATTTTAGAAAAACGCCTAGAAATTCACTTTAATTGACAATTTTTTTGAACGACGCCTTGACGTAAACATTTGAGGTCAAGCAAAATGGTAACACCAAGAGTTTTTTGACCCTTGATAACCCTCACGTGTTACCATTTGACTTTAAAGATCTGTTTAAGTTAAGAATTTCTGGTTTAGTTTTTGAATTATACCTTCATATACATTTTGAAACCTATAACATTAGTAAAAATCACTAATTTCAAATTAAATTTTATTTCCGTATGTAAATAGGAACACTATCAACTGTCAAATTTAAGAAAACGTGATTATTTTTTTTTGTGCAAAAACTGTCGTCACTCATTTTTTATAACTGATAAATTGCTGCGATATTTATAAACAACGTAATAAAATAGCGGTTTGTATTGTCTCATAATTGGGATAACGATAAATAATAATTACTAATAAAGTTTTTTTCCGTCAGGTATATAGATAATTGAAAAATATTGCGTTATCAATATATTACGAAGAAACACTCACTTGAAATTTCACGACGTAATTTTTTTTATATTTGTGACGTAGTGAGCCCCCACTCCTCAACTTATTCAACTTGAAGCAATAAAATACATACCAAATATTTATCCAGTATGCGACTCCCGGATAATTTTTATTTTCTACAGAAATAAATGATTAATATTAATTGTATTGTAGGAGAAGCCAGGCACACCCGGTGCTAAGATGGGTCGAGCGTCAACTCCTACGGGGTCGGGTCGGTACGGGTTCCCCGGGTACGCGGGCTATAGACCACCTCATCCGTACGACAGTACGCATCATAGGGCGAATGGCATAGCGCCCGCCAAACCGTAAGTTGTCAATATTCAACTTTATAATGTAATTCTTAATGGAATGTTATGCTTAAAAGATCCACTTTCTCCCATCTCATAGCATAATGTAACTTATTTTATAATTCGCTACTTGACTGTGTTTTAAAACATTCATATGATCATATTAATCTACAACCAGATTTCTTTTTCTCAAAAAAGTGTTGTTTAATTAAGGAATATCAATATTTATTCATTAACTAGCCGACTACGTCCGCGTGGAAAGTAGCTTAACTTACCCCTCATTTTATAAGCTATCTGCCAGTGAAAGTAAAAAAATCGGTCCAAATCGGTCCGATTTCAAAATCGGTCCAGCCCTACGAGAGAACAAATAAACAGGCAAAAAAAACACAAAATGTTATATTTGTATATGTACCCATATACAAACGTATAAGTGTATTTAGTAATCAGCTGTTATTTTGATATATCTAACTCCAATTTTATTTATATGTATAGATCAGTCTGGAATCGATTAATCTTATTGATTTGAGCCATAAGAGCTGGTTGGGACGTTTTATATTTCATAATTCTTGCTTCCATTGTGACATTAATATAAGCACAAATACTCTCAAATTTGATTTATTAATATGTGACGTCACACGATGCTTCGTAATGGTCCCGGATTACATAATTCACAAGGTGATTTTAAAAAGTTTACTCGGTACAATTGTTTCGCAGCGCTTACTCGTACCACACGTGCGGTGGTCCATTACAACCGGTACCTTTCCCCGCTGACGCGCTAATGGGCCCCGGTATACCGCGAGGCGCGAGACAGGTGGCCGCGTTGCCTCACGGCGAGGTGGTCTGTGCGGTCGCCTTGTCGCTCAGTAACGGCGCGAGGCACGCGTACACTGGCGGGAAGGGATGCGTCAAGTTATGGGATATAACCAATCCAGTATCGCCTACTACTTTGGAGCCTTTGTCGCAGTTGGATTGCTTGGTGAGTTGAAGAATGCATTACCCACCCAGTATAGATTGCTACTTTGGAGCCCTTGTCGCAATTAAATTAGTTGATAAGTGTAAAGATGCATTATCCAACCCAGTATTGCCTACTACTTTGAAGCCTTTGTCGCAACTGGATTGCTTAATAAGTTGAATACTGCATTATAGCCGATAGCTTTGCCTGCTGACTCGCTAATAGGCTATAGAAACAAGTCCTAGAGTAGATAATTAAAGTTAAAGTTTAAATATTATATTGTGTAACACCATTTACTGTAAAATATTATTGCTGTCTGTATTACAAATTAAAAAAAGAAACCTGTTTTGATATGTAAAGAGAATTGGATATTTACCTATGATAAGAAAAATGTTCCACTAATACATATGTAACTTATAAATTAATCTACCCATAAATAAAAGATGCGTCCTGGGGAATTTTGATTCGGTACTTTTTTACGAATTGAATTCCTTATAGAGTGAAAACGTGAGGATAGAAATTCGAATAATCAATAATCGGTGTGGTGGAATACCTTGTTATGAATCTAAAAATTTACTTATTGTTATGATAAATAAAAATATCCCCTTTAATTTATAATTGAATGTTTAAGTTTTACATCTTATAAAATTAATTATAATTTTTGATTTGTTATATGCCCATACATGATATAGATTATTTTCTTATATGCTATTTAATGTAATAAATATTGTGAATATAATGAAAACACTGTTTTCCCAATTCCAGTAATTAATTTCCAATATTTTCAATAGGAGATAATATAACTTTATAATATGTTACTTGAGTAATATCTAATGTCGTACAATAAATAAGCATTTCCTATTGTATTTGGCTTTGAAAAACAAATCGTACCAATTTTAATAATAAACAGGGCATGATTTATTTTAATTTTAAATTTTTGACTATTTTTTCATATTTTGGAAAGGTCTAAAACGCTCGGTCATGATATGTCGTCATACATATTGCAAACAAATAAACGTCAATGTGACTTGTTCTCGTGATTTAGCGTCGAGTAATTTGTGAGGTTATGCGCCGAAGAAAACTAAAATATTAAAAGTAGCAGTATCTCGATATTTTTAGGTGTTGAAAAAATATTGTAATATTTTAATGGTATATAGTAGAACAATAAACCTTTACTATTTGTTCTTACTTAAACAACGTACCTTAAGAAAATAAATTGAGTAGCCTATTCATTATAATTTCTGTAATTTTTTTCAGCAAAGGGACAACTATATAAGATCAGTGAAGCTCCTACCAGACGGACGGACATTAATAGTTGGCGGTGAAGCGTCAAATTTATCTATATGGGATTTGGCGTCACCTACGCCGCGTATGAGAGCTGAACTCACATCATCAGCACCGGCGTGCTACGCTCTAGCTATTAGTCCTGATTCTAAGGTATTTACAATATTATTAGACTTTTTTATTGAATTTATTCGATATTATTTCTAATGTATTAGCACAGAAGGTTGTATTTCGAAGCGCGTTCGATGTCCACCAATCATAATTTTATATTACGAATATTTTTTCGCTAATTGTAATATATTAAACAGCATCTTTTTTTTTTGTTACGATTTTTCGTACTTTATATTGCCCCACTGCCGCCAAGTTTGTGCCAAAATTAATTTAATTTTTTTGAACCACAAATTTGGTTGTGCTAAATGTAAAGACGTCAGTTATTGTCTGTGGTCTATTTTGATGTCATCGTTTGATGTCAAGAATTGACAGCAATGTGTCAAACATAGTAAGACCATTTAGTTTAGTAGTTTCCTTTTTTTAATACTTCCTTTTTAGATAAACCAAATAGGTCAGAATATTTAATTGATTCGTTGGAAATCTAAAAACAATAATGATAAGTAGTGCAGAAAAAACAAAGCACAGAGAAGTGCTTTGGATAGCAACAGAAAACTAATGAAAAGTGTAGTTTTTAAGTAAAGTGTCATGTTAAGTCCTTGGTCCCAGATACATTTGCAGTCGTCGACACCCACCAATCTGTATTGTGATTATGTGGTGGTCCTTTTTTCCCCATGATTCTACCATTAGGTATTTATTTACATTTTTTTCTAGGTATGCTTCAGTTGTTGTTCAGATGGAAATATAGCGGTGTGGGATCTACATAACCAAACATTAGTTAGACAATTCCAAGGTAAGATATAATAGTTTTTTTTTTTATATATTTTATTATGTTTCCAAAGCAAATACTGGTGTATTCTACTCTGTTTGAAAAAGTACCTGTAACTTTTTAAAATTATATATCCAGCTCAGCGCCATGCAGGAATTTCTTTTAGAATTAAAACACTAGAAAAACATGCTTTTTTAAGTGCACGAAAAAGCCGAAAATAAACTAAAGGGTTATTAAAAGGAACCAAAGATATCTATGTCATACTATGGCGTATCGTGTTTCAGGTCACGTGATACACAGAACTTAAAATACTACTTGTAATTTTAACTTAAAATAATTTTATCTCCTCATATTGAAAAGTAAATTATCATTTTTGTGCCATTTCGTGACTTATTTTTCACTGGTAAACTACCTTGTGTTATAATTTTAGTCACAGTATCCCGCATGATGCATAAGTAAGATTTTAATATTAACTTAATATCGTATATTTTGAACATTTAAATAATGTTCAAAAGTTTGAAATGAAATACTCAATGAGTTTAAATAAAATTCGTTAAGCTTGTTGATTAATACTATTTGTTTCAGAGATGCTAAAGAAAATAAAACAGATGCTTTTATGAGATAAAATTCTATTACTGACACTAGTGACTGAAAAGTGTTTTATTTTTCCCGACAGATAAAAAAAAAATAGAAGCAGCAATTTTCATGTCTTATTTGTTTACCCAGGTCACACGGACGGCGCGTCTTGTATCGACATAAGTCCGGACGGCACTCGGCTGTGGACAGGTGGCCTCGATAACACCGTCCGCTCCTGGGATCTGAGAGAGGGTAGACAATTACAGCAACACGACTTCTCCAGCCAGATATTCTCACTTGGCTACTGTCCCACAGGTAAAACATCTAAACAAAGAGTCATTATCATCATCAGCCCTTTTACTTCCTCACCTCAGCTCTTTTTCATCCACTATGCCACCGAACTAATCAAAGAGTGCTAGGGTAAAAATAGGATAACATACCCGTTTTTGAATTTATTTTATTTCTAAGTGGCAACACTGAAACATTTGAGAGCAATCGCTCGGATTGCAAAAGGTCTTGGGTTCGAGTCCCATCTCAGGGTACCTGGAGCATGTGGTTTTTTTTAAGTGTTTTTCATTATGAAAATTTTCCAGTATAGCATTTTGAATGCGAAATAGGGTATTCTACTTTGTTTGAAATAATACTTGTAAATGTTAATTTTAATTTAAAAAATCCATAAAAAAACTTTTTTGTACCTGCGAAAACGCTGTCCGTCATATTCATAACGTCATTGTGATATGTGCCCAAAACAGTTGCACAGAGTCGAATAAGAATACAAGAACAGTGCCATCTAAGGATCGATTACGAAATAAAAAGATATAAATAAGCTAAGAACAGTCATCTAGGAATTTAATTTATAATTAATAGGCATATCTTTATGACTAATCTGACAGATAACATCAAAGCGATGTCACACAATTGCGGGTCGTGTTTTAAGTCACGTGACACACAGACAAAAGTCTAGACTTTTAATTTTGAGATATTACGATGTAAATTTAATTTTTTATGCAATTTCGCGACTTATTTATTCACTACCGAAACTACTACCTGTTGATCAAATATAATAATCAAGTTCTACATGTAAAATGAAAATGAATCCAGGTTCGTGGCTGGCGGTGGGCATGGAGAACTCGCACGTGGAGGTGTTGCACGCCGGCAAGCCGGACCGGTACCAGTTGGTGCTGCACGAGTCTTGCGTACTCTCGCTGAGGTTCGCGGCCGCCGGCAAGTGGTTCGTGTCCACCGGCAAGGATAACCTGCTTAACGCGTGGCGGACGCCGTACGGCGCCAGTATATTCCAGGTGATTATATGAAAACACATATCGCACGTTGAGAATAACAATGTCACTAGCCAAAAACGACGTATTTTTTACTTTTGGCAAAATTTTTCTGTTATGTATAAACTTTGAAATGCAAAGATCCCTGTGAACGTAGTTTGCCTAGAAACTGCTAGGTGGCGTAGTGACGATACGTTGTTAAGAGGGGTTGATTACAATTTCCGCTCATTACTGAAAATCGTATTTTTTGCATTGTGTCACTATCGTTCTCAGCGTACGATATGAAAACACACATACTGCGGATGAGGTGACGAAACGGACTATAATAAGGGTACAGTTTCACATAGCACGGGTACGACGACGTTTGTAAACAAATCCTTTCATGCAATTCGTGTTTCCAAATACTCGTAAAACTATTGTTATAAAAAATAATTTGACTGTGTAGATATTAGATATTGAAAAAGCCAAATTTTTTTTTTAAAGCCTTAATTTCTGAAATCTTACCCTCTAAAGTGTAAAACTTTTAAACTTGTAATGGAACTTCATGCTACAGCTATTTGACGTGTGATAGCGATTGCGACGTTTCTTAGAAAGATATTGATTGAACGATATCGTTAATTTGACCTTCATGGATTTTTTTTATTAATATTTTTTTATTATATATATATTTTTTTTATACCTCTTGATCATTCAAATCATTTAATTCATTCGCTTAATAAGTTTTCCGTTGTTTCAGTCAAAGGAGTCATCATCGGTGCTCAGTTGTGATATAGCGGCGGACGATAAGTTTATAGTGACAGGTTCAGGGGATAAAAAAGCCACAGTTTATGAGGTGGTGTACTGAGTAATATTATAAGGGAACATATGAAATTAACAAGGCCAGTTTGACGAGATTGGTGTGTATTATCGGTTTTTATGGCTGTAAATAAAGATAATCCGCATTGGACCCTAGTGGGCTATGGCCATTTCTCCTAAATTTCTTTTCATGGGAAGGCTTGCACCTATAAATGTGTAGTATGTTATAGTTCCTTAATATTTTTAGTTTTGCAGTGGATAAATAGTCTTATCATGATGGAAAACACAGATTGTTTTGATAACATAAATCAACTACGCAACAAAACATGTTTTTTTAGAATGAAATAAAAAAACTTTCAATTACAATGTTTAACTATCTATGAACAGAATTACTAAATAAAATCATGTCTTTTAATAATGACATATTCTTTCATTAACTGGCTTGCGTAATGATAATAGCTGTGACATAAATGAATTAAGAGTGTGAAAATGTGTTGAATTTTATATTTGAATGGAACAATAATTCATTTAGTGACGTTAAACATGATTATTTTATTATATCCGTGTTGGAAGAAAAAAGAAAGAGTGAATATGTAATAAATAAGTGATCTTTATTTACAGCCAATTACAACCTTCAGGGTGTAAAATAAGAATTGAATTTGAAAAATTTATGATTCATACACCTTTTAGCTCGGTAAAAGTGTAATTTTAAAGTAACAAATAAATCAGTGTTGCACCGTTAAACATATGGATATTTTTTAGTGTTATTGTATATTTTTATAAGGAAAATCGAAAACTATTTTTTTTTATTTTGTATAGGTATTTGTACGCTTTAAGATTTTCTGACGGTCCATTGAATGTATTTATTGTTTTAATTAAGTGTAATAATAATGGTTTTATTTTAGATCGATTGATTGATTCAATCGATTTACATGACTGATTTTTATCGTACCCTGAGTTATCTATGAATTGTTTATTAGTTAAAAATTAAGGCTTCCGTTTGTAAATACATAGTTTCTTTTTAAAAATTGAAAATATATTACTTATTTGTTTTTATGTATACCGAAATACATACTTAAAGATATCTCAGGGTACTAAATAAAGACTATCAAAGTTATAACTTTTATGTTCTAATTAGAATTCTCAATGGAAATTTTAAACACGCACAAGCTCCACTTAGCGGTGGCTAATTAAACAAAGCCGAATCTCAGGTTCACTAATATTATTTGTGTATAATTTCTCGTATAATTCACTGTTAGTAATACATGAGAACCCCAATGATAATATACTCTATCCATATTATTATAAAGTTCATATTTACTGAAGTGAACGTTTTTGATTTTGCAATTTTAAATTGTTTATTATATAAACGAACAATATTATTTTAAATTGAGATCATAAATACTCGCTTTTGAAATAAACATCAATTTCAACTGTTTTTAATGGATTAGTTTTACTCTAAAATAACAGTTATAGTGAATGTTTAACATGTGAGACATTATACATTTGATTTAAATATGCAATTTTTGAAGATGAGGTTACTACGTATCTGACTTGGAACAATCTGTGATGTACCTAATTTGAATAATAATTCACTAAATACTATTATCTGTCATATTGCATTTCATTTTGTAAATTTTAAGTACAACATTATAGTTCCTTAATATTTTTAGTTTTTGCAGTCAATAATCGAATTGTGTCATGAGATTATGAATTCAAAAGATAATTCTGACGTGTAGAATTGTATAGAAGTTGATGGCCCATCGATATTATTGTTGAATCGGGCAAACGAGACTCGCACACAGAGATAGCGAGACAAATCGTTTTAAATGTCGCTGTTCATGAAAGATACATTTTATGCCACTTGTGGAAAGATCTATAGTTGAAAGCCCGAAAGGCTAAATGAGGTGTTACTGGAGCGTTGTGGGTATCAACTGGATTTTGAAGATTGGACAGTAGAGCTAAAATAATACCCTCCCTCACAGTAGTCCTTCAGTGTGTCAGGTATTGATACTGTTCATGTTTGAAAAAAAATGTTCAGGCACATCAGAAATAAAGATTAGATTCGGACCCACAATTTTTCGCAATCCGAGCGACAGCTCTAACTAACCATTAAATCACCCGAGACCTATCAGGACGAATTTCTCAAACGTTCGTTACTTTTCTGATTAATGTTCAGGCAATCCATCTAATCAGCCGGAAGTAATACTAGTTTTTTTACAAATATAGTGTAGACAAAGCGTTTCTCGAGTTTGTCATGCTACGCTGGCAGGTTAGGTGTCAGGTTATCTGTGAGTATAGTTTAACATGGTCAGTGATTTTTCGTTTAGCAGTGTAACATACATTTTTCTGAGGATATTTTTTTTATCATTTTACATTTAGAACGCCCTATTATAATGACAAGACCAATATCATACGGGAAAAGTATTCATTTACAATATAAAAATGTAATTTTCTTGCACAGTAAAAATATTTTGATTCAATGTTTTATGGTGCTTCAATGCAACCTGTATTCATAATATAGCAAAACAAAACTTATGCGGTATATTCATATGGAATGTGTATAATGTTTTTACCGTAACGCTCTTGACCTCTGCCCTGCGATTCTGTGAAAATCAAATCACTAAATCACTAAATGACATGAATTCGGACACATGAGTGAATTCGAATACGGGTCTGGATTTTGATAGAATCGCAGGGCTGGTCGAGGTCACTGGTGAGAGAGGTCAAGGAAATTTTTAAATAGAGCTGCGCTACGAGCACTTTAATTGATGTTATCTTCACTCGGAATGTTTTTATTATAATATTAACTTATTTTTATAATAATATTTTGAGCAAACTATCCTATTGAACCAAAATGGCGATTGAGCAGTAGCACACTTTTGGCATACAAAGAAACGCAATATAGTCCATGCCTACCTGCACAAAAAATTGCCATTTAAGTTCAGTTGCCTTTTGACAGTTATAACAATGAAATAAGAAATATGTTGTAAATGGTAACATTTAAGTAAAAATGACTTTTAAGGTAAAAATGACAATGAAGTATTTTTTGTTTTAAAATAAATAGTAGATTTTATTTTTCTTAAATAACTTGCGGACTTTTTTCTTGTAAAGAACTGAAACGCGGGCGGCCATTACGGAGCAACGCGTGACTTCATATTTAAATAAACTAGACGTCAACGTCTTTCTTGGGAGTGTTTTGTTTTTGCTTAAAACATCGCAACTGATACTGTTGTTTATTGAAATGCGACGTCACGGCTCGAAATGTCACGTGACTGATCGATTTCACGGTTAGAAAAAGAAATCTGTTTAATAATATCATATGAAAGTTTTAAAATACGTGTACTAAAACATTAAAGTAGTCAATTTACATGCTACACATTGTAGATAAATACACATAAAACGTATGAGCCGCGAGCTTAAAAAAATATATTTGTTATGGGTCGCCCACCAAAAACGTTAATGTAATTTTCTTTTTTAATAATTTGTTAGTCAAACTACGATTACAAAAATAAAAAATAAAGAGATGTAAACATATTGCATTTAATGCATTCCCAACAATGTTACAATATGATGTAATATTATTCCAGAATTTAACAGTATAGATAGTACTTAACACGCAAGATTGACTTTGAATATCATAAATGATCTGTGAAATGTGATATATCCTAACAAGCAAAGTATAAATATTTTTTACTGTATAAGCTACATCGGATTTGACTGTAAGGAAGTAATTGTTATTTTCCTGAAAAATTAAACTGCATTACTTTAATTATATTTATTATTTGGATATATGGTTGTTTTAATTTTAAAAACACTTTTTTCATATAATAAGCAAATAAAGGAATCAAAATATTTAAAGAAAAGAAAGACGATGTAGCCTTCAGATGATTGTATAAGCAAATTGTAGGCATGCAAGAAGTTTATTATTTATAAACTTACAATTTGCTATTAGTATTATTTGCAAAGAGTATATTAAACTGTTACGAGCGTTTATGCCAAATCCGTTGAGTTAAGTTACGGTAATTGCAATGTCCTTCTCGCTCGCACGTCGTTCGAGTTGACGTGAATAGTGTGACCGACTCGTCTTGATCCATTGGAGCTTAATTTCTATTGTTTATAGAGACAATATTTATTCATTTTTTATTTTATTTCAATTGAATACCAGGCACGCTTTGCTGTTATTGGTTGAATTCTTCCTGCACGGATTTTCATGAAAAACGGGGATTCTACTTCGCCACAACTCGGTCTGCCATGCAGGTGATAAGCAACTTTCGAAAGTTGGGTGATCAAGCGAATTATCATTTCTAGTTCCTTTATGCTTCGGAAGGTACGTTAAGTTGTTGGTCTTTGCTGCATCTGCAGATTTAAATACCTCCATGCCACACAGGGTGTGCGTGATTGTGCCTTGTTACATAAAAAAAAAAATGTTTTTGTCAAGTACATATACTGACTAGAAATGGCAATTATTTGTAAAATATGACTCATACGCAAACACGAATATACGGTCTGTCTATAAAGTCATGAAAAGAATGTTCGAGGAACTAACATTAGACACAAGTATGTCAACACTGAATCAAAGTACATCGACTGTCAACGACTTGATTTTTTGACTCGATTTTCTGCATTTTTGATTTGTTTTGATTAAACTGAATCTACTTCTTCTTAACTCCGTAGAAAAGTGTTAAAAATGAAGAGAACTAATCGGTGTGAAGCTCGGGATGTTATTTTTTAATTTTTCAGTGATGTTTATTGGAACAAGAAGCTGGACACATTTTATTATATTTGGAGGATATTTATGCTCGAACGGCAGCTATGACTGGTATGTAATCGTGTTCCTGATTGTGTTTTAGTTGCCAAAACTTTCAAATTTACTAAATATATGAATTTAAAAATAAGTATTGTTTATATTGCGCATTTATAGGTTAGATTGAAAACGTTAGAAGGCTATATTGTAGTGCGACCCGAACTTTTAATACTTTTGGATAGTAAAATTTATCGTTGAATTTGAATATGAATAAAAAATATACCTGTTAGGAATGTACGATTTCTACCTACGTACGCCAATCAAAAGTTTGTGCTTTATATTACTAAAATTATAGCATTAATTTGATCATTGTGGCGATTGCATTCTTCCTGCCAAATACATATAGTAGTACATTTTTAAAATTTACTTTCAGGAAAATCAGAGAGTATAGTGATACGTATTGCAGATGAAGGCTATAAAAATGATGGTATATTTGAAACCCCTGGGAAACATAGATCAGGTCGTCCTTAGAAAGAAATGGTTAACTGCATCATTTGTGCATTTCGACAAAAGATTCATTTCTTTTACT